TGGTTTAAAACTCATGCTGGGCCTGTGTGAATGCATGCCCAAAATCCCAAGAGGAGAGTGGAAAAGAAGAGATTGTGAACTGTCTATCTAAAGTGATTTCTCACTTTCTCTCTGTCTCTTTCCAGTGAGTAAATGTACCCTATAGTAAAAATCTCTCTAAAATAATGAAATAAAATAAAATAAAAATTTCCTTGCCCAACAAAAATTCCTCAATTTACTCTGTAAGCACATAAGGCATAGGAATATATTTGACTGTGAAACTGCATTGAAGCACAGTTATAAAATAGTAATTTCCTTTCCCATTTTTTAAAAAAATTTCTTTCTGAATGGAAACATGAAGGGGAAAAAAACACGGTAAAAAAGATAATTTTTACTTGTCATACTAAAAGATTAAAAAAAGCAGTTTGAGTACATTAATATTCTTTCAGTGCTGTAGCCTGACTTGTTTCAGTCTTGAATTCTTTTAAAGAAATGAGGTAGTTCATCCTTTCATACATGGCCATTAATATACATTTGTTGAATGAAAAAGAAATACATATCGACAAATGAAGAGACACCTAAGTATTGATGTCCTTTACTCAGTAGTTTCTTTTAAAATACAGCCAACTATAATTATGCCCAGTTCAACATATTGAATTTGGAAAAGAGGTTTCTAAGAACAGAATCTACAATTGTGAAGAATTTCATACCTCTTGATCTCTATTAAAATAGAACTTTAAATATTTAACAAGCACAACTGAAGGATTCACAAATGGAACAATTGAATTTTGGATACACTTCTTTTATCCATATTTTTCTTAGTTTTATTTGATACCTATATGACCTACTATTAATTAAAAACCACAGATGGAAAAGAAACAGGTTTTCAAGGAGCTGGGAGAAATGAAGGAGATGGCTCCACACTGAAATATATTCCAGTTTGAAATGTAACTTTTAGGCATAGTGAAGTACATTAAGTTATTCACATAGAACTTCAGAATTAAAAAAACACCAGATAATTGTTATATGATCAATGAATGAGCTGACAACTGTAATGTAAGTAAATTTCTAAGAAGGATATAATTTACATATATGTAAATGAAGCAGCAAAACTTGACGAACCTAGTATTTTTGAACTCAAAGTTTGATGAACCGACAGGTTCTTTCCTAAAGCAAAGTGGCTGAAGGTGAAGAGAATCCCTGAAATGATAAACCATCATTAACCCAGAGCTCAGGTGAGCTGCAGGGCTGCAGGCTTGTAAGTAACAAGAGAGAAACAAACTATTCCATTTGATTGCTTACACGGTTATAAGCCAAGACTGCAAAGTTCCCAGTTATGTTATGAAGTCAGAGTGAATAACGTAAGTGAATAAGAACTACTGTAGACCACAAAGAACTGAGTGTAATTTACATAATTTTAATCTATTCAATAATCTGTAAAAACTGATAATAATTGATCATACTTTTGAGTTCTTCTTATGTACTAAACACTGTAAGAGCACATTGTGCAAAAAGTTGACAGTTCTGAGCTTGTGAAGGTTTTAGACATTAAACGTAAAAATATGATAAAAAGAAATGTGTTATTGACTACCTCATCCTTCTGTTTTGCTCTTCTGCCAAACAACAACTCGGTCTCTCTCCTCTTTCCATCTCTGCCACAAGGACTTATCTTCTAGAGAATAGAAAATATAGCATTTTCACATATATTGAGTATATTCCTAATAATGTCTTTAATTATATGTTTCATGGAAAGTAAGATTTAGATTTAATATCCATGCGACTTCATATTACAAATAGTGACATCATTTGAATAAGTATATTCTCATGTATTAAGCATGTGTTATGACTGTGTTACAAAACTTAAATATATTCTTTATGAAATAGCCAGCATTAATTTCCCTGAAATATAACATTACTCCATAATATACTCTGCTATTAGTATCTTTGGCTAGAAAAATTATTCCATCTATTTCATCAAAACCAATTAAATTTTCTTTTATTTTTAAAATGTTATCTTGCTCAAACAAATCTCTATCAAATAAATATTTTCCTTTCAATGAAACAAAACTAGTCAAATCCTAAGCACAGCTACATAATTTAGTCATTGGATGTACATTTTTCCCCCCTGGAACTATTTGTATGGAACATGAAGGATGATCATATATATTTAGCATTAATAGAGTTCATCTGCTTCTCTTCTCAATACTTAAGTAAAGAGTGGCAGTAACAGAGTAACAGTGAACTAAAGACTAGACCGTATAACACATCCAGGAATTTAGGGCCAAGTAAAATAATACAATCTGGTTAGCTCGAACCTTTGAACTCAAGGGTCTTGGAAGGGGAAGCACCTGAAGGTTGGGGTAGGGTCTTGCTTTCTTGGAGTTTGCAATGAAGACTTCAGAAATCTCAGTTCTGTTCCTGATTGAAAATGTGTCACATCTGTAGAAAAGGAGATTTTATTCTCTGATGGACTCCACCTAGCTGTTATTTCTTGAGGGCTCACTAGAGGGGCCAAGAAGTATCATGCTAACCATTCTCTGCTGGGAAAGAGAGGCAAAGCAATTGTCCTTTTCTATTTTCGTGCCCATTCCCCACAGAATGTGCAATTAGGAAACACAGAGAGAGAGAGAGAGAGCATGCCTCTGAGACAACACGTCTCATCACAGGACCAAATACTTGACATTATTTGACTTCCATGAATCCCAGCACTGCCCTCATTTCCCAACCTCCAGATGGTCCAGGTGAACCTGTCAGGAAGCAGGACCAGTGTGACAATGAACACACTTCTGGCAGTTCATTGGTCCACAGTTCAGCTTTTCCCTGATGCAGTCTAAGTCCCTTGTGATACAGCAGAGGTGGGAAGAGGGGAATCTGAAAAATCAGCCAGTTCCAAGAAACACTCCAAGGTATGGAGAGGCTATGGAGAGCTGGTTAGGGAGGCACGGAGCAGATTGGGAAGTCCAAGGGGGAAGAGGACAAGGTGTCCCAGTGAGGCTTATTAGAACCTGCTAGAAAAAAGGATCTTTTAGAGTTCAAACCACCAAGGCAGGTCATTAGTTGGAAGAATTCTCTAATCTATTCTGAAAGGGGATGGATGCTGGATTCAGAGTCTATTCTCTCAAAGGAAGACAGGACCCTTTCCAAGGAAGCTTCTTCTAGAAGCTATGGCCTGTTTTTGGAGGGTATTTTCATGTTTATTTATATTTTTCTCTTATACCAGACATAGAAAGTTAAGAATTTTATATATGCAATTATGTAATTTATAAACTAATTAGGTTCTTACAGTGTGATTCCTGACTTGCTGGAGTGACAGCATAGACTTAAATATAAATTCAGCACAGTTATCAAGCTTTGAGAGCATTGCCCACATGCGCTCTGACTACGCATAACAACCGTGAGGAGGAGCATGGGCTTAGGGGACATCAAAAATGACTCCTGCTCATGTGAAAACTTGGTGTGTAGTAGGTCACCATAAATATTGGAACCTTTCATTTTATTTCACCTGCAGAGAATGTGGAAATTTTTATATATATATATATATATATATATATAATAGTGAAATGAAATCTTGTAAAGTAATCATTTCAGAACATCGACACCATACGACTGTCAGCTGTAAAAAGTTATTTTGCAGGAACTAGCAGTTAGCGTAATGGCTACGTCACTGGACTCCCACGTAGTCGACCGCGGTTTGCATCCCGGACCCAGTGGCTTAAAACTCACGCTGGGTGCATGTGTGTGCGTGCCCAAGATCCTGAGAGGAGAATGGAGGAGAAAGGATTGTGGCGTGACCATCCCCCCGGGGGGTGATTTCTCACTTTCTGTCTCTATGTCTCTGTCTGGCGAGTGCTCGCGCCCTACAGTGAAAATCTCTCAAAAAAAAAAGTTATTTTGGGACATCAGAATTAAAATCTTGGATGAAGATATGAGAAATTGACTATAAATGTTTATGTTATCAAACTTAAACCTAGGAACAGACATCATATCAAAATGGCATATTTTTTTTTATCACATATCAAGCTGACACAGCTTTTAACTGTGTAAGTGGTGGGTTTTGCAAATTTTTCCAGATTTATTGTGAGAAACTGTTTTTAAACTCACACAGAACTCAGACAGAAAAATGGATTGATTTTCTGGAATAGGAAAATGTATAGAAAATCACATTTGGTTTTTGTTTTTTAATCTCAAATTTAGGAGATTGTGAAAGGGAATGAAGTCATCCCCTGAGGTTTATGTAGGATGCCAATCCACAGAG